ATTCTCCCCGGACGCTATTTTTAGCACACAAAAGGAGGACATGTCCGGGGAAATCCGGACGTATGGTAACCCTAGTTTTGGCTGCTTGGGGCAGCCAAAACCCTGGAACCGGCCCTGCACATACCATGAATCAGTCCCCGAAAACCATGAGATTGGCTCAAAAATAGTAAACCTTGGGGTTTTATTTTATTTTATTTTGTTTTTTGAGCCTTTAGGGTTCCTGTTTTTGATTATTATCTCAGTAAGCATGAGGGTTGTTAGAAATTTACTTTGTCAGTTTTGTTTTTTTAAATGAAAGCTGTGAATCACATGATTCCAGGAGCTGGAGCTTTAAGAATGTATCATCAGAGCTGGCAACACTGAGTTTGAGGTGGTGTGGCCTCCCTCTGACCCAGAAAGGGAGGAACCACCCTCTGTGTCCAGGTGGGCGGAGCCAGACCCATCTCACCACTCTCATCAGAAGTGGATAGGCAGGACAGGAAGTATATAAGGCGAAGCATCCAGCTCAATTTGGGGGGAGACAGATGCATACTGCTCTCTCCAGGTTGCTGACTTTGCTGCACAGCCAAGAAATGCCCTGTTCCTGGAGGAACCTGTGTCCACAGCGGAGCTGTTGGGACTGCTGCTGGCCACCTACCCCAGGGGAGATGGAGGACAGCCACTGATCCAGAAGGGAGGGTAGGAAGTAGCCCAGGGGCAGCCAACTCCAGTCTGGCTGTAGTGCTGCCTGAAACATGGCCAGTGTGTTGCAGCGGATTCCCCACTGTGCCAGTGGCGGAACACTCCGCCACTGTTAGGGCCCTGGGCTAGGACCTGGTGGAGTCGGATGGGCCCAGGTCTGCCTACCCACTGCCACCCCACCCCTGGGGTGGCAGCCTCCCCACTGTAGGCCAGGTGGCCAGTGTTAGCCTACCATCCGCCAAAGCTAGGACACTAGACTATTCACTGCTCTGCCCTGCGTTAGGGCTGGAGTCTTAGACCGTTTGGTGCCCTGCCCTGTTTGAGGGCCTGGGCCTCTGTTGCTCTTCCCTGGCCTGAAGGCTGGAGCTTATAGACTCCCTGTTTGCTCTGCCCTGGCATGATGGCTGGTGCCTATAGACTGGCTGGGGTTTCGCCCATTAAGGCGATCATGACACTTATGCCTGCGCTGCTAATTCCCCTGAGACTAGGCAGTGATCCCATGACGTAGTGAGGCGGGGTGGCCTGCCTCTGACCCAGAAGGGGAGGGATGACCGCAGCCCCACTGCAGGGACTAATGCTTACTCCCCTTGGAAAAGTGCTTTGAGCTGTTTGGCTGAAAGGTGCTACAGAAATGCAATATAAACTAGCCCATCTCGGCCTCTCTGCTCGTCTCAGTGGGATTAGCACAGCGTGTGGAACAGCAGTCTGTGTCCCTGTTTTAGCAAAGGAGAAGAGTTGCTGTCAGACTATGTCAGTGGTGGGCGATAGTTTAAAACCAGCCCAGCTTCTGAATGTCCAACATCTGCATTATTTTACACCAAGTAAAAGGGGGAGGGCGTGGGTGTGGCAAGGTCTCTTCTGTTTAGGATTTATGGGGGACCCCACTTGCATCTCCAGATTGTTTTGCAAAGAAAACACCTTTTCCCCTCCCCTTAGTTAATCATGCAGTGCATAGGGGAAACTGAGGCACACACACTATACATACAAAATATTCTGGAAAAAAAACCACTTTGTCACACTCATTACATGAACCAAACGTAAAAATTTGGTCATCTGGCTGTCTATTAGTTGCAAGGACTGGCTGTGGTTGGTTTGAAGCATTGGTTGTTTTCTTGTTCTGCATCTGCCAGCTGTAGAGTTTGCTGTGCTGATTGTTTGTTTTCTTTTTGAAGAACAAACTATAGATGTCAACAGTTTCTGCTGAACTCTCCACTGTTGGTCTCGATCACATATGATCTGGGAGATGAATTCTTTTTCTTTACAACAGCTGGAGTTGTCCATCCTATTCCAATACAAACATGGTCACCAGGTTCTATATCCAGCAGTTCTCTAAGTGATGATGTCTGTTGTAAAAGTGCAACATCTTTTAGCCTTTTTATCTGATTTGGTTACTTTCTCCATGTCTGGCCACTTTGGAGACTGGAAAACAACCTAAGATAGTTCATTAGTTCTGAGTTGTCTTCCCATCAGAAATTGTGCTGGACTAGACCCGTTAGGTGTTATTGGTGTTGATCAGTAGCTCAGAAGAACAAGGAATGGATCTTCCTGCTGTACGATTTTCTCGGCTGTATGTACAGCTCTCTCAGCCTCTCTATTCGCTTGTGGGTAATGTGGGCTGCTAGTAATATGGTCAAAATCATATTTCATTTGGAATTACACCTCTACCCCGATATAACGCTGTCCTTGGGAGACAAAAAAATCTCACCGCGTTATATCGAACTTGCTTTGGCCCCAGGGGTGGCTCCAGGCACCAGTGCACCAAGCACATGCCTGGGGCAGCAAGCCGCGGGCGGTGGCCTGCCGGTCACCATGAGGGCGGCAGTCAGGCTGCCTTCGGCAGCATGCCTTCTGGAGGTCCACCGGTCCCGCGGTATCGGCGGCAATTTGGCGGCGGGTACATTGAAGGTGCAGGATCGGCGGACCTCCTGCAGGCATGCCGCCGAAGCCTGCCTCACTGCCGTGCTTGGGGCGGCAAAACACATAGAGCTGCCCCTGTTTGGCCCCCCCATTCCTTGTTCCCTGACTGCCCCCTCCAGAGACCCCTGTCCCTAATCACCCTCAGGACCCCACCCTGTACCCAACCCCCCTGCTCCCTGTCCCCTGACTGCTCCGACCCCTATCCACACACCCTGCCCCCTGACAGGCACTCACCAGGCGCGGCGGGAAGCGGAGCAATGTGGCCCCAGCCCGCTCCACTCTGCCACCTCCTAGCCGCGGCACTCCACTTCCGCCGCCGATGAGTGCAGGGAGGTTGGAGAAAGGACGTCCCCTGCACTCACCTGCTGCGGGAAGCAGAGTGACGCGGCCCCAGCCTGCTCCGCTTTCCTTGCCCCGGCTCCAGCCGTGTGGCTGGTGGGGGGTGTGTTGGGGAAAGGTCCCGCACTCACCTGCGGCAGGAAGTGGATCGCCGCGGCTGGGAGCTGGTGGAGTGGAGTGGGCTGGGGCCGGGCTGCTCCGCTTCCGCCGCTGCTGGTGAGTGCGGGGGGGGATCCCTTCCCCCAAGTCCCCTCCCCCGAGCGACATGGCTGGGACGAGGGAAGCGGAGCGGGCTGCTCCCGGTCCCCTGCTAATCTCCTGGGCCACTCTGGGACTGCGGGGCCCCCCAAATTGCCCCCCCACAGCTCCTGCGTCCTAGACCCTGGGGGGGGGGAGCCCGTGACCACCCCCGAGACCCTCTGCCCGTTATCCAACCCCTTAGCCCCGGCCCAGCACCCTTAACACGCTGCTCAAAGCAGCGTGTCAGAGCTTTACTGCCTTGTATGCGAACCCGCCTTATATTGGGTCGCGTTATATCGGGGTAGAGGTATACTTAAATTCTGCTGCAGGGAATTGTGGTCTGTTGTCTGTCATTAGTAGTTCTGGAAGTGAGCAAAAGTGCATTTCAGTGTCTCGATTACACTGCAACATGGTATGTCCTTCATGGGTGAGGTTTAGGATTTCTCCTCTCATTTCATTTGGAATTACAATACAATCGCCTTGAGTCATGTATCCATTTGACTCGCTTAATCGTCCATGTACTGCAAAGCAGTCTCTTCTCGCTTCCGTAGTGTTCTTTAGATACTTGGGCCAGCTGGCCCTCATGTAACTTAGAACTTCTTGTAGTTGCGTGTCAGTCAGGGTTGCCTGTTGTAGCTGGTGGTGTCTCTTTTCTGACACTGGTCTGTATGCATTTACATCAGTGGTTCTCAACCAGGGGTAGGCATACCCCTAAGGGTGTGCAGAGGTCTTCCGGGTACATCAACTTATCTAGATATTTGCCTAGTTTTACAACAGGTTGCAGAAAAAGCACCAGTGAAGTCAGTACAAACTAAAATTCATACAGATAATGACTTGTTTATATTGCTCTATCTACTGTACACTGAAATGTAAGTACAATATTTATATTCCAATTGATTTATTTTATAATTATACAGTAAAAATGAGAAAGGAAGCAATTTCAGTAACAGTGTGCTGTGACACTTTTGTATTTTTATGTCTGATTTTGTAAGCAAGTAGTTTTTAAGTGAGGTGAAACTTGGGGGCACGCAAGACAAATCAGACTCCTGAGAGGGAAACAGTAATCTGGAGAGGTTGAGAGCCACTGATCTACAGTATCCATGTACATCTTTACGTCATCTTTGAGCTCATGTGTAGCTGAGTGTGATTGGGCTCATGGCAGAGTGCCTGCTACCACCAGATTTTTTCCCCAGAAACATATTTAACAGTGGGGTTAAATTGAATTAACTTTCTCAATAGACATGGGGCTGCACTGTGGGGGGGGGGCCTTGCGGGGGCTACAGTCACCCCAAAATTTGCCTTAGGCATTCCCCATAGTCACCTCTCCCAGCTGCTGGCGGTGGTGCTGCCTTCGGAGCTGAGCGCCCAGCCAGCAGCCACCGCTCTCCGGCCGCCCAGCTCTGAAGGGTTAATGGGAGCTGTTTCAGGAGCAGTGATACTTCCTGGGGTTACTATACCTCCAGAAGGTGGGGTGTTTGGCCCTCTCCTCTCTGTTGTTCTCAGGAGGTGGATTCTGTGCTCCCTCAGGGAGTCCCTCTTCTTCCTGTAAAACATCCTGTTAGTCAGTGTTCTCAGAGCAGGTCCAAAGGCCAGTGCAGAAGAGAAGGGAAGATTTACCATGGAGTCGAAAACCGTGTTCTCCAAGCCCTTCTCCTGGTCATCAAGTGAAATTCTGACATCCTCCATATCTAGATGTGCTCCCGCTACAACACAAACTTAGGAATTAGCTGGATGGCCCTGCAACAGTGCATCTTGTGAAGGAACGATGCCATGAGCACCATCTGGTTCGTAACCTGGGAGGCAATAGCCATTTGTTTCCCAAGAGTGGGGAAACCCTGAGCTGCTTCCTTGTTTTGGACCCAAGGGAGAGAAGCCCAGAGCTCAAAGATTCAAGGCCAGAAGGGACCATTTTGATCATCTAGTCTGACCTCCTGTATAGCACAGGCCAGAAAACTTCCTGAAAAAATTCCTAGATCAATCTTTTAGAAAAACATCCCATCTTGAGTTAAAAATTGTCAATGATAGAGAATCCACCATGACCCTTGGTAAGTTGTTCCAATGGTTAATGACTCTCACTGTTAAAATGCAGGCCTTATTTCAGTCTGAATTTGTCTAGCTTCAGCTTCCAGCCATTGGCTCATGTTAGACCTTTGTCTGCTGGATTGAAGAGCTGATTATTAAATATCAAGGGTCATTGTGCATTCTCCAACACTGGCAATTTTTAAATCAAGACTGGACTTTTTCTAATAGCTTTGCTCTAGGAATTATTTTGAGGAAGTTCTTTGGCTTGTGTTACCAGGGCCGGCTATAGCAGGTGTGGGGCCCCACGCCGGGATGCGAATTGTCTCGCGCCCCCGCGCCCCGACTCCGCCCCTCCCTGTCCCATTGGATCCCTCCCCAAATCCCCGCCCTGGCCCCGCTCCCAGCCCTGCCACCTCCCTGCCCCATTGGATCCCTCCCCAAATCCCCGCCCTGGCCCCGCATCTTCCCCGAGCATGCCGCATTCCTCCTCCTCACCCCTCCCTCCCAGGCGTTGCGCTGATCAGCTGTATGGCGGCGCAAGCGCTGGAGGGAGGGGGAGAAGCAGGACGCAG